GAAAAAAATTACCTGATGCTAGAAAGTCAAAACAGAGGTTCAACTAGGAGCAGGTGAGTAACTGGAAGGGGACCCGAGGAGCTCCTGGAATCCTGGCAATGCTCTGTTTCCTGACATGAGTGTTGGTTATGTATCACTGTTTTTGCAAATTCATTCAGCAGTACGTTTTTGATGTTTACATGGAAAACACTATCACCACATATTTATGAGGTATGAATTATTTGTCTGAGTCAATTCACTCATTCATTCATGCAGTCAACACAAAATATATGCACATATTATATGTCAGTCACCATGTAAGATGCTGAAGATCTACAAATAAATTTGTTTCTCGTGGCTCCTGTCCATGAGGTCAAAGTCCAGAAAGGGAGATGGACAGGAAAACTACAATGCAACGTGATTAATGGGTTGGTGATGTTTGGAGGGATCTCTGGAGGTACAGAGGAGAGAGACATGAGTGGTACACTGAAAAGCTACACACAGAACGGTGACATGTGACCTTGGAACTCCCCCACCCCATGGAATGCAGAGATATTTACCCACTCCACTGTCCTGGATTGTCATAAAAATATAGCCAAAGAGAAAAGGGAATTCCAAGCAGATAGGACAATATATGTATAGGCACAGATTTTGAAAGCCATTTTAAACTCAGAGAAAAGAGAGTGTTTGCTGTGGCTGGACTCCAGGTAGCACTGAGAAGAATGACAGAAGATGAAACTATTAGGCCAACTAAGGTTTGATTGTGATGTTTGTATGCCTTCTACTCAGTGTGGATTCTATACCACGAAGAGCCAAAGAACATTGTCTAGCTGGTTTCCAAGGAAGCCCTCTCACACACGCGTACACACCAATGCCTTTGTTAGTCTCCTCCCACAATGAATCTGGTTTAGTCCTTTCAAATCTGAATGTGGCTAATATGGCACAGTGTGACTTCTGAGGTCACCATAGTGTCTGCCTTGACAACTTATGAGGCTTGTTCCAAGGAAAGCCAGTTGTCATTTAAGAAGTACAACTATCTTGAGTCTGCCATGTTGTGAGAGAGGCAGCATTGAGAGAGACCATGTGCAGAGAGCTGTTCCAGACATCCTGGGCATCAACCCAGTTGAACCTTCAGATGATTCCAGCACCATCTAATATTTGACTGCAACTGCATGAGAAACTGCAATAGAGAACAGACCAGCTGTGTGCTAGGCTGAGCAAGGTCAACATATAGGACTATAAAAGAGGAAAACAGGTGGGTTTTTTTTATTGTTATTTGTTTTCTTTTTGTTTTGCTTTGAACTGGTACATTTTGGGGTACTTCATTACATGGTACTAGATAAACTGGAACAGACATCTTGGAATAGCAGTGGGACACAAAGAATTTGGGTTTGTTTTGGGGAACAAAGTCTGGAGGCATCATAGAGAATGGTTTGAAAAAGGCAGAGGCTAAAGGTACTGAGATGGGAGGAGACCTTTACAGGAGGATAAGCAGATATCGATGGAAGTAGGAAAGACTGACTGGAATCTATAGATATTTCTGAGGTAGAATTGACAGAATGTAAAGAATAAATAAATGTGTGGTGGCAAGAAAAGAAAGACTGAAAGTCAGATTTTTTTTTCCCAAAAGGAAGAGGTGGTGGGTCATGTCCTCAATAGAAAGAAAGGCCTATAAATTAGGATACATAATGAAATGTGTATAGAGGGTGAGGGGTTTACAAGGAAATATCAGTAAAGATGACAAAAGAGTTGGAAAGTTTGATCTAGGACACAGGGAGATTGGGTCAACACACATGTATATTACATATACACATAGTTAACATGTATGATGGTAGAGCTCTCAGAAATGATCTCACTAATACAAAGTGTGCAGGATAAGAGGAGGGGACAAATGGTAGAATTCAGAAAAGAGAACTCAGTGGTCAGGAAAGTTTTCAGTTTGTGCAAAGGCAACTGAAAAGAGTAATAGAAAAAGAAAGAGAAGACTCATGTCTTAGAAACAGAGGGACAAGAGAAGGTTAAGAAGTATAAGGCTTTCATTGTCAGAAGCTATTGTGAGATCAAATAAGATGAGACTGTGGTTCTGACAATTAAAAAGTCATTAAGACTCTATGAAACTACTTTCAATAATCTGGCTTTGATCAGAGTAGTTTAAGAAGCTGATTGGAGGCTTAAAAAACAGACTATACATATAAATTACTCTTCAGAGATATTTGGGGTTAAGATAAAGGATGAAGAAAGATAAGTTTGTTTCTCTGAGCATGAAGGTAGGTTAAGGGGAAGGAGGAGCATAAGGGCAGGCTTGCTAGCATGAGGTCTCTGAATCAATGACAGGAGAAGATACAGAGGTCTCTAGAGCAAACTAGTTTATAGGCTTCTGCTTTCCAAGTGTGCTTACAGAATAGGAGCTCAGGGAATCTACTTAAAAATGCAGAATCTCAGGCCACACCTCAGTGGTAGTGAATCAGAATGCATATTTTTAACAAGATCCCAGGTAACTAACATGCACATTAAATTAATATGCACTGGAGTAGGAGAAAACAGAAATATGGAGGAAGGAAGAAAGACACAGAATATATGCAGACATTATGGCACTTTGGCCATTTTTTGTTCAATCACTCAGACATATTTTGATTTTTTTTCTGAAATTTAATAAGATACATTTGGTGCTCTCAAATTTGGGGGTATACGAAAAATTAAGTATTGTGCTATGAGAAATTATCTCTAGTGAAATTAGAGGGAAAAGTTCTCTCTGTTCAGCTTTCCTCTAGGTAGGATTACCTACAGTGGGGTTTGGGATATTGTCACTGCTTGAGTCTTACTCTCAAATATTCTGCTTTATTTATTAAAAAGTTTTTAACAATTACTTATGTGATTATTATGCAGCCAGGATTGATGATTATTAGAGTTAATATAAGGTAACCTTGACTGTATATTAGAATCGCCTGGGAGAGTTTGAAAGCTATCAGATACCTGAGTCCCACCCCAAATGATTTTGATTCAATCAGACTGAGATGAGCCTTAAAAATGACCTATTGATGTTGTCCCTAGTCCCAGCCCTTTAAGGTATTCATTTCCTTTACTTTAACAGTTCTCAGCCTTAGCTGCACAAATTATCTAGGGAACTTCAAGAACGACCAATTTCTAGGCACTTCTGTCAAAAAAGCCAGGTGAAAGGAGGTACATTTCCCTCTTTTTCCAACTAAACTCTCATAGCATTTACAATCTGAGCTATTCAATATTAGCTGCAGAACAGGCTGAACTAAGTTTCTACAGGGCAGGCTGAACAAACGTTAGCTGCAGGATAACCCATGCACTCAAACCCCCTCTGTCTGGTTCTTTATCACCTGTTTGCCTCAAGTCTGAACATTCAACCCCACTGAAGGATGAACACTCGACCCCCACCAGTCCGGTGCAACAGAAACCCACATCTGATCCCTACCCCATCTGCCTGAAGGCAGAAGATGACACCCTTAGCAACTACTGTGTGATCCAATCATTGTACACCAACAAGGCAGCTTGCAGACCCAGAGACCCCATTAGATTCTGGCTATAAAAACTCCCTCCTGCCTGGCCCCTCTCTCTTACTGCCTCTGTCTCCCTCTCTTGCTTTCGTTCTCCCTTGCTCTCTCTTTCTTCTCTCTCTCTCTTTTTCTCCTCTTTTGCACTGCTGCAATAAAGATCTGTTGGTGGCTCCCAGTGTTGTGGTCACTTTTCTTTCATCCAACGTAGCACTTATTCAGTCATCAACAACAACAGCAACCAACAGTGTTTGTTAAGCACTTACTAAGTACATAGGATAGTACCACACTATTCTTTATTTGTAAAATGTGTATATATCTCGTCCTCCCAGCAAGACAGTCTTTTTGATAGAAGCAATATATTTATACTTCCTTTTTGTTCCCAGTTCCTAGTATAAAACGTTAGTCCTACTCTTCAGTATTTTACCACATCATATATTTAGGTTATAATTAAATAAAAGAGCAATAGCAAAGTCAAAGTATCTGGTTGGGAATAAGTAGGATTTTGGAATGTGATAATGTTTTTATTTCTTGGGAAACATGAAAGTCTGAAGTTTTCCTCAAGAACCACAACATATTTTAAAATGCCCCCGCCCCCCGCCCCCGGAATTTTGCGGCCTGGAAACCACAACAGAATCATCAAGTTATTAGTGCAGATTACTGGGTTCCATTTTAGACCTAATATATCAGAATCCCTGTGCATGGGTTCTAGAAATCTATATTTTAAATAACTATCCCAGACAATACTAATTGCAATGTAAAATCTTCACACAGCTGATGAGTAGAAACAAGAATTAGTGTGAATAGACTGCTTACTACAAGTTCAATATTTGATGAGCACACACCTTGAGCCGGCACAACGTGGACACCTGACCACACTGAACTGGAGGAAGACTTTACCCTGGAAGGGCCAACAGGGTCAATTAGTGTACTGGGTGTCTTGCCAATAATCATAATGTAAAGCAATAAACTTAACGAGCTAGGCTTTTCATAGTCCACATCTTTTACCTCTCACATCAACCAGGCAGGACAGGCGTAAATTACTGTCCCATCTTTACCAAGGGTGAGGGTGAGGCTCTGAGCGTTTGCTTGGGATAGCACTACTGATGAGCCAAGATTCCAACCCCAGAACTAACGCTTTTCTAGAGACCAATTTCTACTTTCATCCTGTTTTGGAGAATTGTTTCAGATGCTCGAACACCTCTAATGAGCAGTCACAGGTCTGTGGTTTTAGTGCAGCGGCTGCGAGTTTTTGTGACAGTAGCGAATCCCCTTTTGAGTTCTTGGGTCTCCCAGGAAGCATCGACGGCGTGGAGACTTCACTTCCCGGCAGGCCCCGCGGCCGCTGATCTCGCGAGGCTTTCGTGGCACTTTCCCTTTGCTCCTCTCTGGCAGAACGACCCGTCCCGCCCCGCGTAAGGGCGCGCGGGATGCTGGGATATGTAGTCTGGCCGGGACTTGGACGCCCCCTCGGATGAATGGGGCCTGGGCTGACTGAGAACTACAGCTCCTCGGCTGGCAGCGTGGGTGGCGGCCTCAGGGGAAGAGGGAACCGCCTCGGCCCCGGGCAAGAGCCGCGCTCCCGGACCGCGGGCATGTCCATTGCCGCCTTCCTGGGGTAGCAGCGTAGGCGGGCGCCTCCTCCGCGCTCGCTCCCCTGCCCCCGCACCGGCCATGCGCCCGGCCTTCGCGGTGGGCCTGGTATTCGCAGGCTGCTGCAGTAACGTGATCTTCCTAGAGCTGCTGGCCCGGTGAGTGACCCTCTCGGGCCGCACCCGGGCTCCCGGGGCTGGTCGGAGGAGAGGCGTCTCTGCGCGCCGCCCGGGGCCGCATCTCTGCCCAGTCCCCACCCCGCCTTGAGCGGTGCCCGGGCGGGAATGCATGAGCCCGGTCCCGCGTGGGCAGCCTGGGACCCCTTTGGACCCACTACTCTGCCCCTAGTCCTGCACACCGCCGGCTATCCCGCCTAATAAAGTCTGACAGCATCCCGGTGAGGGGACGGACACTGAAGGTGTTGCAGTCGTCACCCAGTTTCCGCACCCTGGGGGATGGAAGCCTGCGGAGTTTTTTAAGTGACTGGTCCAAGATGGGCAGGGAGCTGGTTCCTTCGTCCAGCCACTCTCTCCCCTACTTCCCCTTCAGCTCCAGCTCATTTCTTCGCCCAGTCAATGGCATATCCCGAGTTGAGCAAAGCGTTCTGGTTTTGTCCACACCGCACAGTTTCATCTTTATTATTGGCCCCAGAGTTGCCTGTGGCTATTTTGCCCAAACATACATCTCAGTGATGTAGAACAGATAATTATTATGTGGAAGATCAGTCCAAGTGACCTGAGAGATCATTTCCAGCTTTATGCCATCACAGGTTTTAAATTGGGAAACATGCATTTTGAAATGTATAAAATGAGAAAGGCTATGACACTTTCCCAAAGGTGACTAGACTGGCTTTATTGAGGTAGCTAGCAAATAGGGTGAGAAACAATGTGCAAAGTTCAGTGGACAGAACTGTTGCTGAAGAGACAACAGGTGGAATGGAAAAAGCTCTGGATTAAAAAGCTCGAAGTTATGAATTTCAGTCTTGACTTTGCCATCCACTGACTGTGTGCCCTTTTCAAGTTACTTAGCCTCTCTGGGCCTCCTTTCCTCTGCTGTAAAATAGTATCTGTGGTGCCATCTAGCTTCCTGTTTCTAAATTCTCCATTTATCTTCCAACTAATCCTATTGTCAAGAATTCACCTTTGCTGACAGTGAATAGGTGGTCTTTCACTACTTGTAAGTGGCAGAGCAAGATCTGTAGTCCAAGATGTTGTCTAAATTCCTAATTTAATACCCTCTTTCACCTCCCAGTTAATTTTGAACTTGAGTGGCAGATGGGTCTTGGTCATCCAATTCTTCATGTGATGCCTGCAAGAGATGTATTTTATTTGAAACCATTGATTAAATCATTCTGAAGCAACCAGTTAAGTTAAACTTTATGAGGAGTTCATTTTTGCTCTTACGGAGCTTGACATTTTATTATGCAGCAAGTGCTGATAAAGATCTGTTATTTGTCTTGGGAGTAGGTGGTGAAGGATATAAAAATGAAAAAAAAAAAACCCCAACACCTGTATCCGGCTATAATCTGATACACTTCACAGGAAGGCCACTTTGGAAATTGACATATAGTTTATATCTATATTTTTTTAAATATAAAAAGTGATGTAATTAGGTAGTCCACGGAAACGAAGGTCAGAAAATAATAGTGCAATATTTATATTATATATGCCGTTAAATTAAATCTTGCCAAAAGATTTAATTGTATGATGCCAGAATATGCTAGCTACTGAAGCCTCTTTTTACTAGTTTGTGAGTCCTTGGCCAAATGACTTGATTCTAGCTGCCAAAGAGGGTGATGGTTCCATCAGGCTCACAAGTTTTAAAGGATTAAGTGAGATGCATGTGGAAAACTTGAAGCACACTGGTGGTTGACTTCCATTACTCTTAAAATTTTATTTCAATTCAGGTACCTTGTTTTATGAGATGTTCAGAAAAGTTATGGGCAACTCTAACTTTATAAAATATTTCCATAGGAGCTTCTATTTAGAATACTTGACTAATTTATATACAAATCATCCCTCCTTCTTTTTCTTTTCTTTTCTTTTTTTATATATCTGCATTTTTGCATACAACAGTGGGTTTTCATTAAGTGGAGAGAAAGTATATTTGTTAAAATAATCAGTGATATGTGATATACCAGACCAAATAGCTGCCTTTTCCTAACTTGCTTGGGTAAGTCACAACTTTCGTGACAAATCAGTAAAATAGAACCTGCTTAGGCCACATAGTCTTTAAGGTTCTTTCTAGATATGATCTTGGAATTCACTGCTTTATCTGGGAACATCACAGTGGAAAGCCCATGAATTTTTTCAGAGCAGGAGCTGCACTTTTTCATGACTTCTTTATAACACTTAGGCACCATAGCAAATGGCAAATTTACTCTTAAATGTAAACGCTAAAGTTGACCTGTTGGGAAAAAAAAAAAGAATTTTTTAAACCGTTTTTCCCAAATTGGGAAATAAATTCAGTTTGTTCTTTCTGATTTGTGTACCTATATTATATGGGACCAATAGTAAAATATAAACATATATTGCACTGAGCAGATCCATAGTAATGAATAAGTGCCTGCTCCCCCTCCTTTAAGAAGCTCCTTCCTACCTTGGAAACAAAATATTCATGTATCAACTAACAAGTTGATAGGCAAGGTATTGTATGTCTTACATTAGGAAAACAATCTGAAACATTTTCTATTTCCCATTCAATTTTTCAATTAAAGGCCTGATGTTGAATTAAATAAGTAAGTTTCCTGTATCTAGAAAAAGAAAAGATATGAACTATCTGATCAGTTCATTCTCTTCAAAGTTGCTTTTTTTAAAAAATAAAAATGTGGATTCTTGCCAAAGACAATTCAAAGTAAGAGCAGTTGTTGGCAGTTAATGATTATAATTCTTGGGGAGTAAAGTTAAAAGAACAAAAGATTTAGGGAAAAAAATTAAGTTTTTACTCTGAAGTTTTAAAATGAATTACTCCAGTTAAATATATAGAATTCCCTGAGAGATATACAATAATATGTGTTCCTAAAAAGCCAAGTAGATTTAGAAAGAAACTTGAGTTATATGAGTACATTAGGGAGATTTAAAAATTATATGGAAATAGAGACCACAAAAAGTAGATTATGAGTTGTCAAAGGACCTGGGGTAAAGAAGGGAGGGTGAGGAGTCACTCATATGCATACAGGATTTCCTTTGGGGAATGTCCTAAAATTAGCTAGTAGCTAAGGTTGCAAGACTAAAAAGCCACATTAAAAGCCATAGAATTGTAACGTTAAGAAGAAGAATAAGGATATATGCAAACCCTGTTACTTTGCCTAGAGGCCCTGAGAAACTTACTCAGCTCAGCTGTGTGGCCCTCAGTGTCTTGGGCAATAAAATGGGCATGCTACTACTTTAACTCCATAAAATAAAGGTAAAATAAAAACATGATGGCCCTTAAAAAATCATAAGGGGCCTTAGTTAGTGACAGAGCCTTTGTGAGGCCCTGGGTGTGAGGGCCTAGGTTTGGATCCCGTAACAACAACAAAACATTAAAAAAATCATCTGAAGAATACACTTGTAAAGTGAATCTTTTTTAAAAAAATAAACTACCTTTTAAAAAATCTTTTGTACATATGCTAATATTCTAGATCACTCTTGTTAAAGTGAGGCATTCCTACATTCATTGGCTTATTTGAGTGAAGGCTGTGATTGGGGCTCAAAGATGGATGGGATGTGGTCTGTCCTCCAACATTCCCACTGTGGCACTGGGTTCTCACTGTCCATATTTCCCCTTTGGCTCCCTAAGCTGCTGTTGTCTTCCTGAGGGCAGGGATCAGTTGTCATTCACATTGGGAACTCCCTTTAAGCTAGCACCTAACTGTGCATAATCGGTTCTTGATAATGTTCATTAATTGACTTCGTCTGAGCTTTCCATAGAGAGAAGATAGACAGGAAAGCAAGTTTTGAGCTTTTGGGCTCAGTCTTGTGCTTGGCACTTCATTTGTATTTTCTCATTGAATTCTCGCTGCACTAATAATAGATCATTTTCATTGAAGACCTTTTAATATGCAAGACCCTAAGCACTGGTCATCGCTGGTGGTTCTGTTTGCCTTTGTCACTCTGGCAAGCACTGTGTTAAGTACTTTTTAGGGAGTGGCTCATTTACTCCCGAGATGAGCAACTAATAGGTTCCCATTTTAAAGATGAGAAAACAGGATTTAGATGGTATGTGATGAAAATGAATCTTGCATGTTAGTCTATACTTTTAACCACTATGGAGCATAGTAGTCTCCAATCCCATGTAAGGGGTCATGCGTCTTGCACATGCATGGCCAAATGCACATTCATGCACACTTCAACTCTGGCTGCACATTAGGATCAAGGAAAAACATTTTTTTTAGTACTGGGGATTTAACTCAGGGGCATTTAACCACTGAGTCACATCCCCAGCCCTTTTTATTTTTGAGACAGGGTCTTACTAAGTTGCTTAGAGCCTGGTTGCATTGCTGAGGCTGGTTTTGAACTTGCCATCCTCCTGCTGCAGCCTCCCAAGCCACTGGGATTGTAGGCATGCGCCACTATGCCCAGCCAAGGAAAACTTTTGAAAGTAGATTCCTAGGATCCAGTCCTAGACCAATGGAATCAGAAGTAGGAGAGTGAGCCTCTTAAGGCACATGGGCTTATAAACAGCGGTGGGCTGGAGGGAGTTCGGAAGCACTGTACCAGGGACCATCTAGGTTAGAATTCCTTCTTGGGGCTCTCTTATATAAGATAATGGTTTTAATTAGCTTCTTGAATGAGATAATGATCTTACATACTTATTTATGGATCCCTGCAATGCAATGTTTGGCCTTGTCTTTTGAATATGAAAAATGCTGAAAGAGACATTGTTGAATGGCATCTAAAATTAGAGATTTCAAGGAAGCCTTCTTAGGCAGTCCAGCTTAGAGCAGTGACAGGTCTGCTTCAGATGGTAAGCCTGACTTGCTGTAAGAATGGCTTATGCCTTAGCTTGTCTGTTTTTGTGCCTGATGGATATCTTTAAGAGTTTGTATATCTTGTTTAATATTATGCTACTAATAGGAAATGGAGTTTTGATAAATAGCAATGTATTAATATGTAACAATACAGTTAAATCCTGTATTCACTGGCTTTAGGTAAATATCTTTGATCAGGATGAAGAGAAGAATATGAAGTGGTGATTAATGGTAGTAAGGGAAATCTAGATGCTGTTTACTTGGTACTTTTTCCAGTGATCAAGCAGAGCTGAATAGACAAGCTCAAGAAAAACATTAGCATAGCATGTGACTAATTTTCAGAATGCCTCCAGCTGGATGTTAGAAGGAATTTTTCTACTTTGTGAATCTGTTCCCAATGGTCACCGTGGAAGATTCCCCAACTCTTACATAGATCACTGAAGAGGATCAATTGAATTCCACAGACATTTCTTGAGTGCCTAATAGATTTGAAATGCTGTGTAAGGATTGTGGTGAAAGGAACGATAGTAGTCTTTCGCAGTTTTATTGTCTTTGACACCAGAACCCTTTTTAGACAATTTTTCTAAATCACCCCTTCACAGATATACTATATTCTGGTTTATGCACAGGTGTGTTTTGTTGTACCTTATACTTAAAAGGGGTAAGATCCCTCCCCCTTCCCAAGAACTAGTTTTTACCCCCTCAGAGACACTATCTAAAATAACGTCCTTATCATCACCTGACCCGATGATTCCTAGTCAAGAGGGGTATATAAACATTCCAGGAGAAAATTCAGCCCCTTTCTGTCCTTGGGTTTTGCCACCTGTGCTGACTCAGCTCCTGGCGACAGGCCTTTTGGATCTCCACCAGAACATATAACCAGTCTCCTGCCAAGTACCAGGAAAGCTGTGTCACAGTTCTGGCAATGGGTAGGGCAGAGCAAATCTCACTCATGGCCTGCTACACCTGGGGATGAATAAATAAGAAATTTTTACACTTTCTGTGAGGTATAATGCTAAAGGTGTGTGATCCATGGTCTCTGAGAGCCCAGGTAAGGAAAGACAGTGGGTAATAGGGATCTATCCTTCTTGCTGTTTTGGAATTATAAATATAAGACCTTAGTGCTATTTATCTCGGTCTTTGTGCCTTATTTTTCCTTTCTGTTACTCATCACCCAGGAAGCATCCAGGATGTGGGAACATCGTGACATTTGCACAGTTCTTATTTATTGCTGTGGAAGGCTTCCTCTTTGAAGCTGACTTGGGAAGGAAGCCGCCAGCTATCCCAATAAGGTATGACACATAAGTCTCTTTGTTTTGGGTCTTTTTAAAAAGATGAAGAGAGATGGAACCCATAGAAAAGGAGTATAAGACATTCTGAGATATATATCAAAGATATCAGTAGAATAATTCATTTTTTGAGTTTAACACATTGCAAAACTCTGGGGAGTCTATTTTTAGGATAAAATTCCTGCCACAACACTTTACATAACTGTGAGGAAGACAATAGTGTGTGCACTTGTGTTTGTGTGTGACTGCCCCTTTCTAAAACTGACTAACCTTGGGGACTATATAGAGGTGTACACAATTTTATAAGTGTACTAAATTCCCCTGAATTGTTCACTTTAAAATGGTCAATATTATGTTACATGAATTTCACCTCAATTAAAAGAAAATGAATAGCAAGCGAAGTCAGAATTGTTGATGCCAGACCTTTGTCCACTAGTCCACACTTGCATAACTGTACTCCTGAGGCCAGATAGAACACAGGGCAGTTCTTACAGTGAACAGTGTGTTGAAGACTCAGCCTTCTTGATGAGTGACTTGAGTGTTATCCATCCAGTTTTGAGTGTTGGAAGAATGGTGTCACTTAACCTGTGGAGAGCAACATTCCCATGTGACTATATCCAGGTACTCAGGTTCACCCTTGTTGGTATTGTTTTGCAGCATTCCTGAACAGTGCACACAGAAAATCTGGCTGAATTGTGTTATATTAAATATCATACTTTTAAATTTCTTGATGTGGGATGCTGTTTTAGTCAGCTTTTTTACTGCTGTGACTAAAAGATAGACAAGAACAAATTTAGAGGAGGAAGAATTTATTTGGGGGCTCTTGGTTTCAGAGGTCTCAGTCCCTAGACAGCAGGCCCCATTCCTTGGAGCGTGAGGTGAGGCAGAACATCATGGTGAAAGAATGTGGTGGAGGAAAGCGGCTCAGAATGTGCCGATCAGGAAGCAGAGAGAGAGTTCCCTTACCAGGGCGAAATATATACCCAAAAGGCATGACCCACCTCCCCCAGCCACACCCTACCTGCCTACTGTTATCCACAGTTAATACTTACCAAGGAATTAATCATTGACTGGGTGAAGGCTCTCAGAACCCAATCATCTCACCTCAACTTTCTTGCATTGTCTTACACATGAGCTTTGGAGGGACACCCCATATCTAAACCATAACAGATGTTAAATATTCGGAATACTTTTTTTTTGCATTGGCTTTAATATCTTCATAACACTTCTGCTCCTGCAGGCCAGCATGTACCCTGCACTAGGAGCCCCAGTGACTTTTTACTTCTTTGGCCTTTCCTGCCTCTTCCCACTGTCTCTTCCCATCACCTCAGCCATTTGCGTGGATTAGGAGCGTATTCCGTGTCACCATAACTTTTAAGTATCCAGCTGACTGATCTCCCTTCCGCCCACTTTTGTTTATTCCTGTTTTACTTGTACCATTTCATTGTGGCACTTCTTGCTCAGTGGTTGTCATGATGTTCAGAATGAATTTCAACCTCCCCAGCCTGTCCTTGAGACTCCCATGATCTTCCCCCAACAACCACACTCCCATGTGTGTCCTGTTTGTGATAGCTATTTTATTTTCGGTTGTGAAACCATAATCAAGGTTTTACTCATGTAATTCATCCTCATAAGTGATTTCTAGGCAGTGCTAGGTCAGCAGCCATGTGGAATAATTGAGTTAATTATCCTGAAACACCTTGATGAACTCTTCTTGCCTTCCAAAGGCATCTCTTTAAGACAAGACTGAGAAAATTGTACAAGAAGCCTTGCAAAATCACTAATATATAGTATTAAAAGGTTGTGAAGAAACAGTTGCTAGTGATTTTGTGTGTATGTGTCACTGTGCTCTACGTTCATTGTTAAGCTTCTCAAACTTTCCAGGCTATGTTAATTTAGCCTTAGGCTTTACTGCTATTGTGATGTATAGAGAGCTCCATATCTAACCAGCAATATATAATAGGTTCTTGTTAGAGAAGATAACTTGGAACAACTCTCTGTTGTTATATCTCCACATGTGCAGAGGTGGAAATGGACAACATTTCATGAAGAACATGGAATCACTTATTTACCTTTGCCATGCATTCTTTAGTCATTGATTTTAAATATTTCTCTTATTGAATAGGTTCAGTTGAATCATGAAATTGCTAATGTTCAACCCTTTTTGAATTACCAAAAAACCATGGCAATTTAATATGGTTTAATATATATGTGAAATTTATGTACAGTGAACCAATACAGTAATATTTATCTATTCACTTCGAAAAAGCCTATTGATATCTATTAACATTTTAAAAGTTTAGTTTTAAATGGCCACGTATACTTGAAAAAATAATTTCTTTAAACATATTCAGTAATTCAAACTTTTCCCATATTATTCTGACTTTGTATTTTTATACATACATAATATTTGACTTCAGATGATAATAGTGATAGTCTTTTAATGTAAAGGAAACAAATTCTTTTTAGACTAAAATATAGATTTCCTTCTATACTTAATTTCTGGAAATAACAGATTCTGTGATTTGCTGTTCTTTCTGTATTTCAGGTACTATGCCGTGATGGTAACCATGTTCTTTACTGTCAGCGTGGTGAACAACTATGCCCTGAATCTCAACATTGCCATGCCCTTGCACATGATATTTAGATCTGTAAGTGCTGCCATGTGCATGTTCCTCTGAAAAGCATAAAAAAGTAGTAGGCTGACTATGTAGCAAAAGTAGAAAGGTCTTGTAATAAGTCTTTGGTCTTGGGTATAAGAGAATAGGTTTGTGAATGTGTGAGCAAGGATGGCTTTCACCAGAGAAGGAAGGCAAAAAGAAAGAAATGTGAAAGTGGACAGTTAACTTATTTTTTTGAAGTCTAATGGGTGATTATTAAAAAGAAATTAAAATTTCCCTGGGAAACAGATTTTACCTTCAATTTTCTTCATCTGGTTGATTTTATATTCAAACTTACTATTAATGTTATTTAACTTATTTCTTTTTTATCACTTAGTGTTTTTTCTTTTTTTTTTAATATTTATTTATTTATTTTTAGTTGTAGTTGGACACCATACCTTTATTTTTATGTGATGCTGAGTATCAAACCCAAGGCCTCGAACATGCTAGGCAAATGCTCCACCGCTGAGCCACAGCTCCAGCCTTAGTGGGTTTTTTTTTTTTTTTTTTTCCCATTAAAAAAAATTACATTTACTTCTGTTACATGAAACAGATACAGATTGAGTATACCTTACCCAAAATGCTTGTGACACTAGTGTTTCCAGGTTTGGAATATTTGCATATACCTAAAGGGATAGTGTAGGTTGTGGAACCCAAGTCTAACCACATAATTTACTTATGTTTCATATGTACCTTATACACATAGTCTAAAGGAAATTTTATACAATACATTTAATGATTTTGTGCATGAATCAAGGTTTGGGGCATGGGATTATCTACTTGTGGCGTCATGTCAGCACTCAAAAAGTTTTGGATTTTAGAACAGTTCGGATTTTCAGATCAGGAATGCTCAAATTGTACTTCTCTTTTCTAATTTTTTTTCATCAAAAACTTGAGCTAATAAAGGAAAATTTTTGACAAAGGGAATTTTTCCCAAAGTAGTACAAGTTTTCTTCTTTTCCTAATGTATAGTGGGAGATCCATGTGTGGTTTGTATATAAATAAGAACAGAGTATGCCCAGAAGAGAAGGGAAGACTTCAAGGGTCATGTAGGTAGGATTGCAAAAGACTGCAGAATGGGTGGTGATGACTGGAATGATAGCATTTCTGGGTGGCCTGAGATTTTTTGTGACATTGAATGTGCTATTTCTGAATGTAAATATTAATTATAATTATTAAGACGAACTTTAACACATAGTAGACTTTAATAAACACTTGCTGATTGATTGACATCTTTCCAGAGTGGGGAGAGAGATCCTTGTATGACTTCTTTCATTAAAACTTCAGGTGAGAAGAAGCTTATTAAAAGTCTTAGAAATTAGATGGAAAACTGGACAAAAAGAAGTCTATTAAATCATTTATTCCTATTAGTCATAACTTCTGTGACCAGTTATTGAGAATTGATCATTTTTGTTCTCATTATTAGCTCGTTACTGTTTAACACGAGAGATCGTTGTGCTCTATACTTTTTGCTGCCATAGAACATCTGGACCTTATTAATTGTTTATCCATCCTCCTTCATTCCATGTTTCCCCCCTTGTACACATTCATATTCATTTTGAGTTATTTTCTTTCCCTGGTGCACTAAGACTCTTTTTGTTATTCTTGTTTCCTTTTTACAGGGCTCCCTCATTGCCAACATGATTCTGGGAATTATCATTTTAAAGAAAAGGTAAACAACACACCTTCGTATTTTATGTATAGAAGTGATATTCTGAGCCACCATCCCTGGGCTTATCATCTGGATTCTTTTTCCCTTTGTGGTTGTAAGTTTGCTTTTGGCCATCTACCTTTTTTCTTAGTTCTTTTTCTAAAAATGGTGCACAATGATATAGTTTCCTGAGGCAGTTGGCCAGGTGAGTGGGCTAATCTGTGATTTTGGAGTAGTATCTTCTCTGAGTTGATTAACTCTTGTCATGACTAAATCTATGGTACCATATGTACCTATTAAACCAATAGAGCTTCACTGTGTAATATGGTTACCACTAGTCATCTGTGACTATTTACACTTAACATCTAAATTTAATTTTTATTTATTACATTTATTTTATTTATTACGTTTCATTTTAATTTTTTTTTAATCCTTCCCTGAGGCTTTTGCTTGATCACCAAAAATCTGAAAGGGATAATAATGATGCTATTTTAGTTAATGTGAAATGTCGCTATTACTATCGCTCATCGTTCTATAAATTGAAAATTCTCTTTGTCCAACTATGCCAACATTCAAAAGCAACATTTAAGTTATTCAGAAAGTTTAGAAATAATACCATCCTCAGAGAATGTTCAATTTAATCATTTTCTGAGCATTGAATGCTGCTACTGGTACCTGATGGTCTATTCTTCCTCTTTGGTGGTGTGTGTCTTAGGACTCAGGTTTGAGTTCTATAAAGACAGGGAAAGCCACCGAGCCCAGTTAAGACTGGCCAGGCTCCCTATGGACTCTTGAGAGCAGAATGCAGTGTCATGCCTGGTCTGTGTCTGTTTCTATTTTTATTTCCTGATGCAGCAATCTGTTTATCAACAAACTGTTGGAAACAAATTATTTTAACCACCCCAGGGAAAATGTTTAGGAACCAGTCAGTACCCTGATTCCTTCATGTACCTGCCTGTGTGGACTCTGCTGGAAGGTCACATTTTAGTGATTTGTACTTACATACCCCATTGACTATAAATGTCATTTGGAAATGTGTTTTCCTGTGTTTTGTTTTTATTTTGCAGATACAGTATTTTCAAGTATACCTCCATTGCCCTGGTGTCTGCAGGGATTTTTATTTGCACTTTCATGTCAGCAAAGCAGGTGGTAAGAATCAGCTCACAAATCATTTATATTCACTACTTGCCATTGGGGCCTGGTTACCAGACACTCATTAATAATAAAACAAATTAAAACTTTTGTAATGTAAGGATTTGAGTCTCTGCAAGAGAGGAATGGAGGGAAATGGATAGCATAAATACTTCCCTTGTCTCTCTTGCATGTTGCATGTGATTCTGGTCTCTGTATCTCTGTATTTTCTTATTTCCTAGACTTCCCAGTCCAGCGTGGGTGAAAATGATGGATTCCAGGCCTTTGCATGGTGGTTACTAGGCAAGTACAGTAATTACAATAAAGCTAATTGCCTCTGAAGTTGTGTTTGCTTAGTTTTCTCCTAAGGGAAGTGTTTCTTGGCAAGAAGCTTCAGCTAAAAAAAATTATGTCCTGGAAGAGAGGGGATCCTGTATTTCTAAACCTTAGCATTCAAGAAATGAAAAAAAAAAAAAAGTCCACATTTGTGGCAGAGTGCTGGACAACATGGATCTATATGTTTCTTGGTTGCCACTGGCCTTGGAAGAAAAGTGTGTCTACTTGCCTGCCTAGCATGCTCTGAGAGCAGTGCGTGGGCTGTCAGCCATTTCTTCATGATCCATCTGCTGAGTAAAAGCATCTGCAAAAGAAGGGCACATTAACCAGTTGACTCTTCAAATTTCCAAGGGACCCATTTCTAAATCTTAGATTTATATTCTTCATAGGTTAGCTGTTCCAGATGGCAGTGTTCCCGAATCTAACTGATCATCATAATCTCCTGGGAATTCTTTTTTTCTTAAATACAAGTATCTCTTTGTAGAATTAATTAGAGAACTCCTAGAGAGCCTTGTTCTCAACACTGTCTGATTTGGAGGGAAACTCTTTCCATGTACTTTCAGTAATAACAAGAACAGATTGAGACTGACAACGTGGAAGGGAAGTAGCAATAAAAGACTGTGGTTCTCTTTTCTTTGAATTTTATCCCTTTAGGTTGCTATTCTTAACATAGAAAGATCTGTATGAGCTATGAGAAAAATAGTTTACCTAATGAGAAAAGTTTCCAAAGGATATGAGTATACAATTCATGGGGAAAATTAATAAATGATAATTTTATGTTAAGCTTCACTAGTTTGTTCGTCAAAGAAATGAAAATTAAAACCAAAATACAATACCTTTTTACTTTGTCCTGTCATATTGGCAAAATGATAAATGATTATTTTCATTGCTGCGAGGGTACAGAATGACAAAACCATTTTCATATAAATGATTAGTTTAAATTGACACAGCCTTTTTGGAAAAATATTATATATTGAGTTTTTAAAATGTCTTCAACCTTTGATTCGGTAATTCCATTTATATGTTTATTCTAAGGAAATAATCAAAATGTTTAAAGGTTTGTGTGCAATGATACATATTGATTTCAATGATGAGGTAATTGGAAATAATCTAACCATTCTCCCTGAAAGACATTTAAGGGAGAATGGTTAGATTATTTCTAATTAGATTAGATGGTTAGATTATATCCAACCATGTGATAGAATAATATACAGTCATTAAATCACAATTTTGAAAAAATTTAATGAAGGACTTGAAGAAAAATGTGAGAAAACATCCCAAGAAAAGCAAGATATTATATCGTGCATGCAATCTCATCCCATCTTAGAATAAAAATATATGCATTAGATATAGAGAGATGTAGAAAATAAAAGGTTAGATGGTGATATTGTGGTTGATTTTTACCTATTTTTAAAATGTTGTACATGTTCTACATTTAGTTTATAATATCTGTAGAACTGTAAACAAGCAATAAATGTTCTTTGAGGAAACATCTGAAAATGAACAAATGCAGGCCATCTTGTAACCCAGTGTTTGTGTCTTAGGCATCGGGGCACTGACTTTTGCTCTTCTGATGTCAGCAAGGATGGGTATATTCCAAGAGACTCTCTACAAACAATTTGGGAAGCACTCCAAGGAGGCCTTATTTTATAACGTAAGCAACTTCTTATAGGTGGGGAAGGTGGAAATTCCTGCATTATAGTGTGTTATTTCAAGTGAAAGATGCCATCCTTCTGATGTCATTAAAAAGCCTTGAGACCCAGAGACTGAAGTGCTTTTGTGAGGGAGTTAGTGCACATTCTGAGCCACAGTTGCCTACATAAGACAATCCTTATCAGCCAATGTGAATGAAACATCTGTTAGGCAGGAGCAACCTCCAGGGACAAAGCACCCTAACCTGCAACATTCTTGTAGATGAAATCGAGTTAAAACCAATATGGAAATCCTGAAAAGGAAAACCAAGTTCCAAGAGCAACAGGCAAGGGAATTTGTGCAGGCAGGCATCTGTGGTGTAGTTTGGGGAGGATGGGGTGGAGAGGCATAAGTCCCCCAGATGGGTTTTATTCACTTAATAGTTTAATTATTATATGTGCTTTGTTTTGAACTGTCACTTCCTCTAACTTTCCTCCTCTTCTTCCCTCTTGGCTATTGAGATACCCTCAGAGCATAGCCAGTCCCTTAAGCTGAGAGTGAGGCAGTTGCCCTCATGCAGGTAGCTAGGGATTCTTTCACTGCTGACTTTTTGTACTGAAGTTGCAACCAAACATTTTGAGATATTTAATTGGAGCCAGGGTTCGTGGCTGGGAATTTTAAAACTTAAACATTGTGTTTGGTTCATATCTCCAATGCCAGGCATATGGTAACTGCTCAGTGAGTGTTAGGTGTGACTCGTCATTACTGATGGGCAGGGTGGGGGCTGTTGTCGAGCACCTTCGTCATTGTTGGCCTATCATATCTTTTTTTCTCTTCAGCCCCTTCTAATTTTTACCTTCATTTATTTTTCCCTGATTTTGGATTGTCCTCAAATCTCTTTCCCACTAGCTTTCTGAATTCCCTGAAATCTGCCTCTGTATTCTTTATAATTCTTAGATCCATTGTTTGCTTAACCTTTCTCAAAAATAAATAAATAAATAAATAAATAAATGTGTCAAATCCTTTTGGACTGTTTTTAAGTTTCCCCCTTCCCTTTTGTTGAGGAAAGGATGCTGGCTCCTTTGCTTTTATCTGTGCATGATGCCAGGTGGAGGCACTGATACATTTAACTTAGTCTAACTTGCTTTTCTTTATATTACTTATCAAACAATTTGTACAACTTTCAATTACTGTTTTGTATGTTCTTGCACTTAACTTTATATGACCCATTTCTTCCCACAGCACGCCCTTCCACTTCCTGGTTTCATCTTCTTGGCCTCTGATATTTATGACCATGCAGTTCTATTCAATAAGTCTGGTGAGTTTAGGATTATATGATAGAATTACATACCAGTTTCTGAGGCAGAGTCTCAGTTTTGCTTTTGATTTGACCATAATTTTTTTCATTATTATTTAAATCATCCGTCCCTTCCAAAACTATCTTCCTCCAACCTTTCAGGAATATAAATGGTACTATTAATTAGTAGTTGTAGCAGCAATAGCTTTCTGTAGGCACTTCTCCATTTTTTGCAAATTAAGTAAGAAAATATCTTCACGTTTCTATTTTGCTTTGGAATTTGCGTGTTTGCCTTTGAATTGAGAGGTTTTGGGAATACAAACAACTAGTAGCCACACAGAACAGAGATCTGCACCCTGCAGATTTGGGCAGCAGTCCAGCTCTCTCTGGTGCTGCTCATCCTTTTCTACTGTGAATGGCAGAGCTGCTCATGGATGCAAGCTGCCTTGGTGCCAAGCAAGATGGGCGTAGGATGGTGGCAGGGCTTGTTTCCTAGTGACCGGTTAGATAGGCAACAAGAATAAGCAAATTAGTTTCAAGTGTCTACAGTATAAATGTAAAGTGGCCATTTGATTAATTAGCTATAAATTGTCAGTCAACTTGAAGGAAACTACTGTGTGATCTGATTATCTACTAATGATATCATCATACAGACAAATGAGCACACAGGGAACAAACGGCATTTAAAATCAGGCTTTATGTTGCATATACCTTGAATGGTAAGTGCATTCTATAGCCTGGCCTTAGGGTCTCATCGGAGCATGAGTTCTAAAATTAGGTCTGCTCTCTGCATGACAGTGTTATAACTGTGTTATCTCTCTCATTTGGCCAAATATATATAATAAAGGTAATAGTATATAAGAAAGTTGGAAAGTTTCTGAATAAGAGAACCACTTCCGATTATTAACAACATAGTTTTGAAGACCTCTGAGAGTCACCTCAGAGCAATAACTCTTGTGGCTGTTATTAACCATTAGAATCAAGGCAGGTAAATTGATGGGAGGTCCAAACCTATTGGCAAGTGAAATAAAGCTGCTATTTCTATAATCATTTATTTATATTGCCTTTTCGAAAGATGAAAAGTTTAGCTATCAAAAAGTGATCTTGGGGTCAGGTGTGTAGCCTAGCTAGCATGCCCAAAGCCCTGGGTTTCCAGTACCACAAAAAAAAAAGAAAAGAAAGAAAGAAAGAAAAGAAAAACTAGTGTGACCATATCCTCTCAATCTTTGCAGAACTCTATCAAGTTCCAGTTGTCGGTGTGACAGTGCCCATCATGTGGTTCTACCTCCTCATGAATGTTATCACTCAGTATCCTTTTGATTTCCCATATATATATATGGTTTCTTCATGTTATTTTGGCCTAGAATGTTTATTCTTTTCTTCTAACAGGTGTGGAGACATGAGTTTGGTTTTTTTCCTTGATTTCTTCCTGTAGGGAGCAGGAAGCAGAGAGACATATTCAGGGAGTTCCTTTGCAAAGGGCAAAGGGACAGTGGTGCAATGGATCATTAAGTCTCAGGGAGCAGGGAGGAATGCGCTGGTGGAGTGAAGGAGCCCACTGGTTAAACACTAGTCTATGGCATGGACAGTTTGTGATTTTTTGCCCAGGCTTTTCTAGTATTCCAAGATATTTCCAATTATCACAAGTACCCCAAGCTTTGAAAGAAATTTCAAATTAGTCAAGACTCAGTTGTTTTTTTTTTTTTTAAAGAGAGAGTGAGAGAGAGATAGAGAGAGAGAGAATTTCAATATTCATTTTTTAGTATTCGGCGGACACAACATCTTTGTATGTGGTGCTGAGGATCGAACCCGGGCCGCACACATGCCAGGCGAGCGCGCTACCGCTTGAGCCACATCCCCAGCCCAAGACTCAGTTTTTTTAAGTAATCATTTTTAATGACCTTAAGTACCTTTTAAAATCTGTTAACTCTTTGAAGTAGTGAAACAGTTTGATTTGACCTCAATCCTCTGAAATCCTAAAAGTTCCTTTTTGGAGGAGGGTGCACAGAAGCTGAGGACAAGACAAAATAAAGGGAGATGGGATCAGCCTTACTGAGAATGTTGCCCTTTTGTTATCTCAGAGGCAACCTTGGTTGTAAACCACAGGAAACATCCAGAATAATAATGGGAGATCTTGAGGTAGTTTCCATCTGAGATCTATAAATGGAATGGCAGAACAGGAACTCTGCAGGATGTTCTGCTGAGGAGGGGCCATAGAGTGCTGTGATAGACCCTCCTATTTTCTTAGAAGGTGAAAATTTAAGCCAAGAGCCATGCAGAAGTTCCCCCCACTGGCCTCCCAAGTGCAGTTTACAGAAAACGACCTTAACTCCATTCCAGGTACGTGTGCATCCGGGGCGTGTTCATCCTCACAACAGAGTGTGCCTCCCTCACCGTCACGCTTGTTGTGACTCTACGCAAGTTCGTGAGCCTCATCTTTTCCATCCTGTACTTCCAGAACCCTTTCACTCTGTGGCACTGGCTGGGCACCTTGTTTGTCTTCATTGGGACCTTAATGTACACAGAGGTGTGGAACAACCTAGGAACCACAAAAAGTCAGCAGCAGAAGGCCGACAAGAAGAACTGACATCTGCCTGGAAGATGACTAGTGTTGTGTGCAGGAGGCCTCCGCCCTTTTGCTTTGGTTAACACTGATGTTAACCCAGGATGGAACCAGACATACCCCAGGGATTACTGAGAAGGAGGGGACGTTTTCCGTTTCTCATGGCCATCCAAACAAAGTTTGTAGACTCTGAATAGACATCCCTTAACCCTAAAAATAGGAAAAAGAGTAGTTCTGTATTATCACACAGATCATTCGTTATTTGTTTACCAGGATATTCAGAACTGTGCTTGTTTGTTAAATTCCAAGTCCCTAGAGCTGTGAGTCTTGTATCTGTGATCTCAGACAAGATCATGCCTTTGTTACTGTTCTGACATTCTCTGCCATAATAATCATTTGTTATCCCGTCCCCTTTTTCTCCTGCCCACCCCCCCCTCATTCTTCAGCAGCACTTTGCAGTCTGTCAGGTACTCCAGGCACCATCTTCCACTGAACAACTGAGTGGCCCAGCAAACTCTGAGCCCTGGTGACACTGGAGCGTACTGGCAGACCCCCTTTACTACATTTTGCTTTTTTCCCCCATATGTAAACACTTGTTGCAGCCCGACAGCATCTCACAGCATGATGTCTATTTCTCTCAGTGCAAATACCTCTGCTGGTCTTATTATTATAGGATATTTACGGACAGATACCAGGTCAGAGCACAACAAAATGAGTGCTCAGAAAGCTGAAGGCCTGCACTGTGTGAGCTAGGTTTTCTCTCTGGCGGTTGGATATAAGGAAATAGATAAAACAGCTACCAGTTAATACTCTTTAAAAATAATTTATTACCCTTAGTTAACTGATTTTTCAATCCAGGTTGAAACTTTTTTTCAACATTTATTAAAAGGGCGAATAAACCATTTTATAGAACATTAGACTCATTTACAGCAGGAGACATCTCTCAAATGCCTTTCTCATTGTCTGTGAGGACTATATAATTTGTGCTTCAGAGAAACATAGTTTGTTTATAAAAATAATTTAGTGTTTAAGATATCCACAACTCTACCCCAAAGCACAAATCAAATAGCAAAGGACACTAGCCAGACCGTGTAAGGTGTGGCGCCTGCGTGCTCCTATAGCAGCTTGCCTGGTATAATAGATGAGTAACAGGAGACGTGGTCTTGGGATTATATTAATACCTGCATATATCCTTTACCAAGATTCTGTTACTATAAATGCTGTCTTTTTTCATTGTTTTGTAATTTATTTTTTTATCCTTGGATCAAACCCAGGCCTTATCCATATTTTTTACTTTATTTTTCATCCAACTAAACCATTAATACACTTGATGAGTTTATGTCGGTTCTAATGTGTTCAGACACAATCCCAGCAGTCAATGCTTTCTTGTTTTTGTTTTTGTTTTCCTTTTCCCTTCTTCCTACCCAGTTGACTAAAATGAAATGCTGCAGTACTTTAATTTGGTCAGTGCTAGAAGTGAGGAAAGCAAGGACGGCTGAGCTGATCCATGCCACCTGTAAGCCACCTCTTGTAGGAAGATGATGTGGTATTTTTACAGGATTCTAATAAATGTCTTGTGGTCATTTGCTGAGCACGTTCTTCTCATTTTTTTTTTCATTCACTTTCTACTTTCCAGTTTCTTCACTGAAGCCCCTTTCACATGTGTTTTCTACTGAGCAATACCTATAACTGCATATCTATTTATGCCTCTATTTTGGGAGGCCTCTGAGTGTTTTTGTAGATTTTTACAGGGTATTTCTACCTGGGTAGCGTGTATTTTGTTATGCATTCTTATTGTTTTTAAGGAAAGGCATCTGTACAGGTGAGAAGCTGGCAAAATATATGACTGTAGATAAGTACAAACTTGAAGGTTAGTGTGGAAATGTTTGCATGCTCAGAATGGGGCTGAGATCTTGACCCGCAGACAGAGGGCTGTCTTTGGAAAACAATAGTTTTATTTGGCTCTTTTTACCCTAAACTTTGGCTGGCCTCACTCAACAAGGTCAGAATTGTGGAGAGGAGAAGTGAAAACTATTTGACTAGGAATAACCCTCAACCAGTGAATTGGCTTTGGATGTGGGCCTGTTCGCCAGTGGTCCAGTTGGCATTGACCTGAACAAATACATAAATACACATGGAGAAGAATCACATTATGGACATCCAAAAGCAAGATCCTGAATTTGTTGTATTTTGTGTATCTTTGGCTTGGAGCGAAAGAATTATGAGAATTTGCCATTATTAGATAATCAAAGCATTTTGGTATCAGTGGCTTTCTGCTGAAAAATGTGACTGACTCTTATTGAAGGCATTTCACTGTTAGACCGAGAGAACTGTCAGTATAGATAAAATGCATTCTGTATTACTCTTGATTGGAGTGATATTTGAAAATTAGTATAAGCAGTATTTGTAACCACAGGAACTAGTCATAAGCCTTAGAGTATGTTAGATATGTCCTTAGAATATGTTGGATATGTCCTTAGAATATGTTGGATATGTCCAGAGCTGGGACAGGAGCATGGGCTTCTCAGCCTTGTTGTGTGTTCTTTCTTTCCAGGATCTTCCTCACTGTAGACATTCCAGGGCTGGGAGAGGCCTGTGATCTGATTCATTCCTGTATTGCCAGCCCCTGGCATAGGGTCTGACTTGTATTATATTCATTCATTCAATGAAGGCTTGTCGAGATCTCTTCCTCAAGTTTTGAGAAATGGTTCCTGACACTTGCTCCACTCTTCAGCTAGTTGGGAAGTAAGACAGTAAGGGAAAACATTCCAGAGGTTTGAGCAGAAGAAAGGAAGGAGGGATGTTGGGAGATTATATAGCATATAGCCTGCTACCCAGCCTTTTGCTCTCTTGAATGCCTGGTGGTAAGAGGGAGAACAATATATATCTAGCACCTTACATATCTGGTGCTCAGGAAGAAAGTAAGAAGATACCTAGCAGAGCAGTAAAGGTTTCTGAGGTTTTGAATGGTTGCCTTGGGTAACCAGCTCCGCCCTCATGTCACCTCCCCTGGTGCAGTGTGTATTAGCTGCCGCTAGTAGAGCATCTTTATCTGTCTATTCTTGGTGTCATGCTGAGACTTTTCCTGCTTAAACCACTACCCAAAGGCAGGCTTCAAGGGAACCAAAGACAGGAGCAAAAAGAAAGTTTGGCCTGCCTTAAAAGAAACGAGGCCCAGAATTAAGAAGAGTCATAATGATTCCTTTGACACACAGAATTATTTATATCTTTTAAGATACAGTGAAGATCCTGTGAACCAAAGAGGGTGGCAGCAGTTATACCCCTGCATCCTAAAAAAAAAAAAAAAAAAAAAATCTTTGTCACATTCACAAGTCATGTCATTGCTGTGCTAGTTGCTTTCCTTCCGGAGGATGGCCTCATCCTCCAAAGAGGATGATTAGACCTACACTTTTCCTTATAAACTACAGGGTGGGGAGGGGCAGCAAAGATTTTCTGTGTTCAGCCTCTGAGCCCTTCATCGATGTTACATCTTCAGAACAAAGATCGGGGTTGGGGGTGGCAGCTGAGTTTGTACAGCAGCCAAAAGACATTAGTGCGTATTCAGACTTGGAGCTGTGTAAATAGCAAACGTCGCTCCCAGCCTTGCCAGCTATTTGAACAGAGAGCTACGGAGGAAAGGGAAAGTTTGTGAATAAAATGTTTTGCCAAACTGAATGAGTCTTTTTACCGTCAGTTATTGTAAAGGGCCTTTTTTTTTTTTTAACCTTCTGAAACAACTCATCAGACATTTGGTTTTTATCTTGGATTGTATGAGCATAGTTTCTTAATAAAAGTGCTACATTTCCTGCAGGTGTTTCCAATCACCATTACTTTTCAAGGGCCCACAGACGCTTTCAAGGACTCTCCAGCTTTTACCTTGTAAGGTGGTGGCAGAATTTTTACTGTGAGCCATTGTCAACAGCCTGTCTTCCTAAGGCATTGTGGCACAGCTGGATTGATAAGAGGTCACTTCTCCAGCTGCACTTCTGTTTCTGCTTCAGAAATTTCAAGTAGATCAGTCTACTTTTTTGGATTTCTAGAGGTTCACAGTAGTAAGTTTCTTGTGGCCGGTCTCTCCAAACTGCTTTGTGTGAGTAGGCCTGTAGGTTGACTTTTACAGTGCAGCAATGGCCAGCTCTATTTTAATATGCCACTATTGCACACAAAAGCCACTCTTAAAGCAGTTTTCCACACCATTTATTTTTAATTATGGTTTACTATAGCCTCCATGTACAGAACAGGAAGAGAGAAAAATAAATGAAACATTTGGCACTAGCTGTAGCAAAATTAAAATTCATCTCCTTAAGAATTGCAACACACTTATCAGAGGGACAGGGCTGGATGTTCCTAAGCAGCTCAGAGCCTGTAATTGCAAGGTGGAATGGTCTCCAATTCTTGAGTCAGACCTAGTGCATGTTGGACTTTAAAATGTTACAGATTGCAAGCCTGAAGAAAAGTGAGAGGCCAAGTTATGGCTGAGTTCAACTCTTTAGCAAATTGTATAATCTCATCAGTGGAGCAGTGATCTGGTACCTGCAATAAAATACGATTGCAGATAATGCAGCAATATATCCACCCAAGATACCTTTCTTTAATAAAAGCTATAAAATGTTGGTGAGTATCAGCAAAGATCCGATTTCTTTGTACTCTTATCTTCAAGCACCCATCAAAAATGAGTACAGATCAGTAACTTGAATATGTGTGCACGTCAAAATTTTTCTTTTAAAAAGGAAAAATAAACATCTGGCTATGCAAATATTTGTTAATAATCAAAGCTTTTCAGTGATGTTCTTTATCTTAAAATTAATAAAATCGTCTCATTAAAATTAAGTTATTTTAATGTCTAGTTGTTTCTTAATCAGCACTTTAAGGATCTGACATATGGCTCCATTATTACATATGACTCCATGATGCACAAATGCATTCTGAAGCTAAATAAGCTTATGATTATAATTACTGGAATTTATTATTTCCTGTAATAGCTCTGAATGGAGCTTACAGCATGAACACACTCCTTTCATGAAGGTTGTACATCTGTATTCATTTTCCAGAATCTTTACCATTGTTAAAATAATCTGGTTCATTCCAGAATTGAATGAAATGATACAGTAATAATAGTAAATATACATTTACTGTGTGCAAGGCGTTTCACTTAATATTAACTTATTTCACCCTTCAAATCCTTGATGTAAGGGAATTATCCTGTTTTATAGATGAGACTGAACACAGAGGAGATACCTAACTTGCTCAGTGGCTCATAAATGCTAGTGCTGGGATTTGAACCTTCAAAGATGATTCCAGAATTTGTAATCACTGCATGATGCTACCCCTAAAATCTCCTTAATGACACTATGCCATCTTCCTTTCCTTTTCCCTGTGTGGTGTAGGTGTATGCCGAATGCCATTATGAAGTCTTGGATGTATCTTCTTACCATATTGTTTCCGAAGAGCTAGTGAAGAAAAAAAAACCCAGAAAATTGGTAGCAAAACGACTCAGAACTAGTTGTGGCTCTTAGATGTTCACATCAGAATGTGAACATTACGCCTGGTAACTGGAGCATGGCTTTCAGGTTAATCAACAATATCAAATGTACAGTATGGAAAGAAGTAATTACATCCCAAAGCCTTTATCAATGATTTGCTTAAGTAGCTGTAATTTACAGCATGTTTAATGTATGTCTTTACTGTTTTTGTAGTTACGTCTCCAAGTTCTGTCCCAGAAAACATTTAAATTCTGTTCTCTCATCTACTTGGATAAATGCCATCTCTAAATTATACTTTGATAATAAACCTTCAATGTTATGCAAGGATACATCCTTGCGGTGATTCACTATCTTCGGCACAAATGGGGTTTAATGCATTATCCATTATTCACTAGATTGCCTAATATCCTCCATTCAAACAAGAGTCAATGTTATAGTACTGCTCAAATTTTAGTTCTAGAATGTCTCTGCAGATGTGTTTGCATATGTAATCTTGTCACAAAATGAAAACTGTTGACCCTTTTATACAAATTTTATTGGGATTATGTTGAACTGCATGTAGTGGAAACCCAAGCTTAGTCACTTAACCTAGTAGTTTATTTTTCACAGGAGGAAGGCAGATTGTTCAGCCACTCAAGGAAGTTGTCAAGGAAAACAAGTGGAAGCTATTATAAAATGGCACACCTGCAAAAGGCCTCATGTGTGCCCGCTAGTGCCAGGGGAGCAGTCAGATGGCTTCTGCTTCATTTTTGGCTTCCAAATCTCACGAGTACCTGCCATTAGAGGAATCTATCCCAGAACTCTGCTGGTAAAGATTATGGGCAATGTGGATTCCATTTCCAGACCTCTGGTATAGGGAAGATGGGGAAAGAGGTCTGGACCGTCAACAGGCTTGCCCCTATGGCTGGGCTATTGGACAATAATATTTAACTTCCAAGCAAAAAGCTGAAGTTAAAAGCAGCATGCTTCTACTTAACAGGATACTATAGTTTGAGTGGGTCCCCCCAAAAGTTAATCGGTCCCTGGTGTAGCAATGTTGAGGTGGTGGAACCTTTAAAATGTGGGGCCTTTTGGGAGGTGCTTAGGTCATTGTGGGTGCCACACTCAGAAGGGATTAGTGAAGTTTTCACTAATTAGTTTCCCAGTTTCTAACCTCTAAAATTAGAAAAAAAAAAAAAAAAGAGCAAGCCTGGCCTTTGAATCTTTCTGGCTTCCTGTCTCACCTTATGATCCCTTCTGCATGTGGCCAGTTCCATTTGTTTCTCCTCCATATTATGACACAGCCACCAGAGCCTTGCCAGGACACTGGCACCTTACTGTTGAACCTCCAGAATTATGAGCCACATAAACCTCTTTCCCTTACAAAGTACCAATTTTCAGGTATTTGTTGTAGCAACAGAAAACAGACTAATACATATGATTTGACTATTCCTTTGACTAATGAAAGTGCTATTGTTCTTTCCCTAGAGACCCAATGTCCCTTAGGTCACCATATCCAGCTCTAATTCAGTTGCAACCCTTTTGATTTCCTAAAACCTAAAGCCAAAAATTTAAAAAGTTAAGCACACTTCTTATATAAAATAGAAAGGGGGGATTTGTTGCTGATAATAAAGTCAATTTGCTAAAGTTAAAGTACTAATAAATTCATAACACAAGGAATAAATATGCAGAGTCATTATAGTCCTCATTTCAGCAACTGTTCTTGAGGCCATTGTTAGTATTTATAATGCTCTTACTCCACTTCTCATTCTGTGTTCCCTTATCCTGCCACTCCAGGTGGGCATGGGTCTTGACCTTGTGGAATGACCCAAACCTTCATGCCTGGTGAGTCTAATCCTCTTCCTCTTCCTAGAGGTATTGTCTTCATTGACTTTTGCCTCTAGATATGTAAGTACTGAGAAAGGTACCTGGGGTAGCCTCAATCAAATAGTACTTATCCTCAGAACGTAGCAGGAATCCTGTTTTCCCTTGAGAGCCAGGATCAATTCCCTAGCAGTGACCATAATTTTTCTCTTTTCCTGTTGTGTCAGTGGCATAGAAGGCAGATGAGACCAGATGATAGTCTCAATTCCCTTCTCAAACGAACCCTCACTGCATTCCTGGGTGATGGATGGTGTTCCTCCCTTGAGAATTGAAGTTTCTAGACAATCAGCAATTCAAGCTGTGGACATGAGAAATAATAGTTTTTCACCTGAGTTACTGGGGGTAGCAGCAAGAAGCCACTTGACTCCTACCTCCTAATTTTTGGACCCCGTTTTCTCTGTAGGGTGGAAAGTTCCTATCTTTCTGCTGCTGTTGTAGCCATATTTTGTAAGGCAGCAAATTTTCATTGACCTTAAGGTTCACCTACATTCAGAAAGAACCTGGCAAACCAGGATACGTCAACTTTTTGTCAACTTACCAGCATATTTTTTTTTCTCTGACTGCTACATGAACAAGGCCTCAGGTGTTTGTTACTGGTTTAATACAACCTGAATGGCGTAATGAGATCTGGCTTAGTTTAATCCTTCTATAATGTCTTCCTTAAACACTGCTTTCATACATGCAAATGGAACACACATACATTAGCAGTGTTTCTGCTGCAAATCCTGAAAGCTATATTTTTTCTCTTGCTTGCTTTCTTTTGTGGGCCCATCTTATGTGTGTTAAATCTAGGAAAAGATGTTAGTGAAAGGAGAAAAACAGGTGGGGAAGAAAGAGATGAAAACACTCTCTGACAGTTCACTCCTGTTTTGCAGCTGTGAGAGCCGCGGGTTGGAATGTGTTACCGCTCTCACCAGGCTAATTAATTCTCTCTTTTTAAAAGAGCCACGTCTCCTTCCTTCAATCAGTGTCAACAGCCAATTACAATCTTTCATCACCCAAAGTGTAATAATGCAAATGTTATCAAGAAAGAAAACAGTTGGACTGACAAGATTAGCAATTCGCTCCTTCTTTCTTAATCTTGTAATCGCATGGTATGCAGCAGTTCACAATAATACACGCCCAAGTTTGCTGGTAAATTACTCTAGAAAGGCCTAGTGTAAATTCCCCATTGTGTCATGGCTACGCTTGGTGCAGAAGCGCATGTCTTCTTGTAGGAGACACGGGATGAATTAAGATCACCTCCTCAGAGAGTTTTCTCCTCCTCCATTACCCACTGCAGAAGGTTATTAATTATGTAAAGCGAGGCATACTTGGAGAATACATAAC